GTTACCTAGCCAGGTAACAAAACATTTGCAAGAAAACAACCAAGCTCAGAGAACCCCAAGGACTCCACAGTTCAACCCTGAGCTACATATATTTTCTTCTATTTGCAGACCTTTCTTTACTCAACCAGATAACATCATCAGTGCGAATGAGTGTGGGGTTTGCTTCCTGTTTATATTCAGTAACTTGCCCTGTCACTTTGGTGGGGGTGTAGTTTTCTCCTTGGTAGTTCCTTGATTAGGGTATTGTTTTCTGCTTGATTTTTTTGCCTGGTGTTAATCCCTGCTTATCTGAGTGTTGGCTGCTGGAGAGGATGTGTTCTGGTCTTTTTGTTTCCTCCTTAGCTTTTTTATTGTCTCTTTTGAATGTTGTGTAAATTTGTTTTATTTCTATTTTTCTTTTTTTTTTTTTCTGGTGTTAATCCCTGCTTATCTGAGTGTTGGCTGCTGGAGAGGATGTGTTCTGGTCTTTTTGTTTCCTCCTTAGCTTTTTTATTGTCTCTTTTGAATGGTGTGTAAATGTGGTTTATCTCTATGTGTCTGTTGATGGCTGATTTCTTTACTCCAGTGTAACAAATGTAAAGCACATAGTGGATTGCTTGCTTAATGCAAAGCTCTGGTCTCTATGCTAGTTTCACTATGGGGCTGCAGATGATGGAATATAAACAGGAGGAAAATGCAATTTATAAGGAGAAAGTCAATCACTATTATTTTAAAAGGAAGATGTCCCTTTGATGACAGATACAGGGCTCCATTCCAAACAGCTCTTTGATCCTGCAGTAATATCTGCTACATGTTTAATTCAAAGATTCTGCAATATTTTGTTGGATCAGCAGGATCATAAAGGATCAGCAGGATCATAGGATCAGCAGGATCTAAAGGATCAGCAACTTTTATGCAGCAACATTCAACACTTCCTAGTTTAATTTCCTATAGCCCTCAGTGCAATGCTACGGTATACTGAGGACCTTGTGAGAATCTAAATAGGGAGCCAGATTATTTGGATGAAAGGAAGAGGCCATAAAAGGAAGAGTTAACAAATTTCCATGACAGAAAATTGGATGGGACAGCCGATATACTTAAGAGACAAATAAAATTCAAAACATTTTGATGAGTTAGAAAAATGGGCTGAAAATAATAGAATGCAATTTAACAGAGACAGATGCAGATTTCTTCACCTAGGAAACGCAGATGAAATACAGAGGGATATAGCAATGTGTGGCTCGGTAGCAGCACTTGTGAAAAAGGTCTTGGAATAGTGGTTGGTTCAAAGTAAATGATTTAGCAGTGTCATATGGCCACGAAAAGCAACCGCTGGGATTTCAGGCTGCATCAGTGGAAGTACACTGTCCCAGTTATGGTTAGTAATAGTCAACCATGGTATCCTGTTGGGACGACTCAGGGAATTGGGGGTGGGCGGCACGGTCTTGTGCTGGTTCACCTCCTTTCTTCAGGGCTGAGCCCAATCAGTGGTGATAGGGAGTGAGAGGTGCCATCCTCGTCCCCTCCTTTGTGGGGTGCCACAGGGCTTGGTTCTCTCTCCACTCCTTTTCAACATCTACATGAAACCGCTGGGTGAGATCATCCGCCATCATGGGATGAAGTATCATCAGTATGCTGATGATACTCAGTTATACATCCCAGGTGAGGTAAGTGATGCCGTGACCGCCCTTTCGCAGTGCCTGGAGGCTGTAAGGGTCTGGATGGGGAGCAACAGGCTTCAGCTGAACCCTGGTAAGTGGCTGCAGATTAATGGCTCCTCTGTATTTGGGACTTTGTCATCTTTGGTGCTGGATGGGGTAGCACTGGCCCAGACAGACCCAGTGCA